CAAAGGTATTGAAAAAAAAATTGAATTTTGATTTACCATAATACTGGGTAGGTGTGGTCAATTTTTTCCATTTTTGTAAATGTGCTACTGCCTCGGCCATAGAATATGCGTTCAAATTTTTGTACATATATCTGCTGTAGTTTATAAGTAACGTGCAAAAACCAATTTTTTGTTCCCTTTGAAAAACGGAAGAGTTTTCAGTTTACGTGGTGCTATCCGCGTGTCCTTCGACCGTTTTGGCGCATTTTCGATACCAATCTGCGTGTAAGAACTTGCAATGCTTCTGTCAAATTTGAAGTTGATAGCTTCACTTTTGCCATTACAATCTTGACCACAAACATTATATAGACGGACAGACGGACATGCTTAAATCGATTTAGAATTCGATACCGATTAAGAATAGATACACTTTGATACTGATGCCTCGTTGTGGACGTTGCAAACATTCAGACAAATTAAATATACTTCTCATCCTTCTGTGGTGGGTATAAAAATATACATATCTATATATATAATCATGCTGCGATCGTCTATTTCCATATTTGGAACAAAAAGTCTATGTACAAAGTACAATGCTCTTTCCATTGTAACTTAAAAATAATGAGTAAAACAACATGAAATACTAAACCAAATAAATTTTGATTTATTATAAAAATGAGCGACGCACGTTCAATGTTTTCTAATTAAAGAAAAAATATCTTCATATATAGAGTGTCTAGTGTTATTTTCAATGTTCTTTCTTCTGTACCTTATGAGGTAATAATAAAAATGAAAACAAACAAAACGAAAATTTCATCAATTGTAATTTAATGGGGGCGTGATGACTTTTTTCATTTTTGGCGGTTCTTCCATCAAATAGTTATGGGAAAATAAATTTCGGAAGATTTCGACTTTCCATCTTTCATTATTTATAAGTAAGTAATGACCAAAATTGTACAAATTTTTGGCTCATTGAAATAGAAGCGCTTCCAGTTTACGCGTTAATGTGGCTGTGACGTTTGACAAATGTGAGTCATTTTCAATACCAACTTGCGTAGAAGAATTCTCAACGTGTTTCTACTAAATTTCGAATTGATAAGTTAACTTTTCCGAGCAAGCGACTGTCAAGTCCATGCAGACGTAAATAGGGACGGACATAATTAGAGGGGTTCATAATTTAATGCTAGTCATGAACATATAAGCTGATGCTTCATTTTGAATGCTGCAAACATCTTGACATAGTGAGCCACGCTGCAACACCTTATTAAGAAAATTTAATTGACGGGATTTGAACGCTTTTATAAAAGGGGTTCGTCGAAGCTCTTTTAGATGAGACGACAGATAGCCTGTTTTATTAAAAACTTCACGTTTTGTGAAATATTGTTGTTTTAGTATCGACTACAAACGAAATCTTCACTTGTTCTCTCAATCTCTTTACTGATTTGATCTCTTTCTTATGTGTCTGAGATTCACAGACAACTTCCTAAGAATAAACACTTGTAACGTGAAATCAAAAACTTGTTTAATTTTTATTAATAGTATAAAATCATCGAATAAATGTTTACATGCGTGCAAGCAGGCAAGGCCGATTTCTAAAAAATATTTTTACGTTACATCACAAGTGGGTGTTACGTATATTAAGTTTGTTCGATCGATTGTAACACCCAGAAGACCTTGAGATAGACCCATCTCTTATTATTAACCTCTGTGAACGACAATTTATTTTCAATCAGCACTGCTCACTGCCAGACGATCTAATATTCTTAGTTTTAAGAGGATGGACTGATATAGAATTTGTTTCATACATTTATATGAATGTTTATTATTAATTCTTCATTAATGTTTAACAAAAATATTACGGTTCTACATAGTATTTAAACGAAAGTAAGTACGTGGTTCAACATAATGTAACAAACAATATAAATGTGTATATATATGTTTATCCTAACTTATATTCGGGTTAATTTTAAAGTACTAATAAGTTTCAAGTGTATGCTACTTCTCAAAACACTCCGGAATTTGTAACACTATCCTTCTCTTCCCAATTGCACTCTTCCGAAAACAATCCTGTATTTTCAGGAAGTTTGTGATCACTGAACTGAATACTTTGGTAGCTGCTTAGTCGTCGCACACGTTTTCGATTAGGTGCTATTTCACTATCAGCACTGATAGCTATCGCTATCACAACTAACTCTTACCTTATCGGCATTAGGTGAGCACAAAGTAGCACTGTCAAATTCTTCTTCTTCTGACTGTTCATATTCACTCATTTCAACACTGTCATTATCACTTTTGCATAAAATATCTCCGATTCTTTTAGCCATATCTGGTAATATTTCTCCACGCTTTATATTTATTATATTCCCCTCAGAAAAAATATAATAACTCTTTAGACGGACATCACTAGTAAAATAACCGCTATTACACTTCACGTCGTCTTCTTCAGTTATACAAATTACATTTTAACGGTAACTAGAAACATGCACGCAATTATATCAAAGCAATAGACTGGATATGACTTACACATACTTCTCTCATAAAAAGCATCAAACTTGGCGAGTCCAGCTCGTCATTGTCAGCTTGTTCAGGAAAGTTTATGACGAGCTGGACTCGTCATTTCCGTTCAAAGGATTAAAGGGTGTGAAGGTAAATTCTGATTTGACTAACAGAGACACGTACCATCTACCTTAACAGAGCTCTATAAACGCCCTAGCGGCGCTTTGTAAAGCAATTATAATCAAGAGAGGGTTCGACTTTAAATTTGAATTTGTTTAGCTTGCTTGATAAGTACTTTTATACATAGGTTCATGGGGTGTTCGCAAAAATATTTTACTTGGAACGAAGTTGGATTCCAAGTCTTTGGAAGTGTCCAAGTGTCTTTGCTAGTTAAATTCGAATATGTCTTGACAGTCTTCTTTTATAATACTCATCATCCGCCTGAGTAGCCGAGGGTGAGGAATCTCGACTAGCAAGTCAATGGTCGTGGGTTCGAATCTCAAGTGCGGTAGAGTTTTTAATAAAAGCCAATAGTCTTAGATGCTAGTGCTTTTAAGAGTTTAGTCTTGGAATTTATATCTCTGGCGAAATTAATAATAATAATAATAATAATAATACTCATCAATTCAAAACTGTTTTCCGAATCTGATCAAAGTTTGTCCGTCCGTCTGTCCATCTGTCCGCCAACCTGCATACCGCATGTACTTTCATGAAGCCGTATTTTGGACGTATTTTGGCCAAAGGCTTGAGATAGATCAACCTTTTATTATGCTTTAATATATTATTTATTAAGCTTAACTGATATTCCATCTGATATTCTTCTTAATGGATTGGATCGGTTCATTTTTTCTACCGCTCCCCATAAAACGTCTTGTTTTGATAACTCGTTATAAGAAAAAATGTTGTAATATTTAGAATTTCCCGGCAAAAGTGGTTTAGTAGTTAGTATGCAAACTGTGGGAAATGTTTTGAGCTCCTTGTCGCATAACCGTCCCCATTGAAACTATTAACGTCAAATTAATAATTTGAAACAAAAATTAACCTTAGAAAATTTGAACAACGTAGATCGAGTTTTTCGATCACAATCTAATAAGAATGGCAAAAATGCTCAATTGTTCACATTATATATCGAAAGAGTAATTCGATATAAGCCTCAACTATATCAATTTTGGATTAAAATGAATTTACTTTCTGGTCATCAGCGCATACAAGGATTGTCATGATATATTAACCCTTTGTATGCCAAAAAGGTCAAATTTTTAATGCTCTACGTTGCTACATAGTAGCAATGTAGTGTAAAAATTAATCGGAATTTGAACTACATAGATTTAGTTGACTGCGCCACATGGCGATAAAGTCTAATCTGTGATTTGTTATAGGGGAAGCAAATGGGAATTAATTAAGAAAATCTTTGAAAAGTAAATTAAGTTAAGGGTGTGAAGATAAATTCCAATTTAATTAGCAAACACACCCGACCCAATCCTTAAAAGAGCTGTGTAAACGTCGTAACAGGGCTCTATAAACAGAGACATAATATAGAGTTGGAGTTGGAAGCCTACGCCGGCCAGATTAGGAATGTGGACACTTCATGAATCTTTCAAAAAAGCTAAACAAATTTATATTCTATATATTGCTGAAAATAGATGACATTCTCTCGTTTGATCACACTAGAGTCTTACTTTTCGCTCACATGCCAAACTTTAAAGAAATTGTAAACAATAATATACATAAACTCTAAGCAGAATTTGCGTTTGTTTAGCTTGTTTTAAAGGTATTTTCATATAGATTCATGCGGTGTCCACAAAAATATTTTACGTTTTTCAGTATGAACGGAGTAGGTTTTCAAATTCATCCATATCTTAATTTTAAATATTTGACGAGGCTCTGTTAGAGCGTTTACAGAGCTCTGTTAAGGAATATGCTAAGAGTCTTCACTTGAATTTGAATATATTTCGATATCTTTAATTAAATTTTGCTAAATTTAGACTACGTCGACGTTTAAGTGTCTTCGAATATTAGGGCTTACATTTTTTTTTCCTTCTATCGTATGACCAATTATTCAGGGAGTGTCCCTATTCGTCTAATACGGTGACGATCGGAAAGAAGTGAGGAAAGCGAAACTAATAGAGGTAGGGGTAGTGTGCATAATCGGTAAGCGTAAAGAACTCTAAGCACTCACTACGACTACGATCAAAGTGAACTCTATCGCATTGAGATTTAAACCCGCGAACATAGACCTGGTAGCCGCAATTCTTACCTACTAAGCTACTCATGCGGTTGGGTAACTTTCAAGGTATTATTAAGTAGACGAAGTATTAGTGTAAAGTATCTAATGACCGGTGTTGCCCGTCTATAGTTGTTTGCAGCAGCCATACCTTTTCTTCTTACGCTATTCATTGGCAGAGAGTTGTTAATAAGTATTTTGTTTTACGTACAATTGTTGTTGTTGTTTCTGCTTGAATGAAAATGAGATAAAAAGCAAAACCCGTTTTTTTTCATTGAAAACAAAAAAAAAAAAAGAAAATAATAATAATTTGATTTTAAAATCTTTTATTATCTTTCGTTAGCATTTCAATTTTGCACTTGACGGTGAATGTGTGCAGCATAAGTGAGCGAATATTTGTGGAAATATGACACAATTTACGGAAGAGGAAGAAGGTCAATTCATTGGCTCGCAACGCGTTAATGATAAAACAAATTCAATACCCGATGGTATTTTAGATGACCATACCGTTCATGAATGTGATATAGCTTTGAATAATTTTGAAATTAAAAAGAAACGTTATCGAGTTTTACTTAATCGTTACCATATCATTTGGCAACGTTCCGACATCAAACATAAAGTAAGGAATGATGGCAACGAACCGACGACAGGAACATCAATGCAAAAAGGTGAGATTTTTTTTTACGTTGTTTTTTTTATGAAACTTATAAAATGATTTTTATTTATTTATTTTTTTTTTTTTTGTTTACAGAAAATGAACATGAAAAGGAAAAAATAAGCTATCAGACCAAATATGACGATGGCAGCAATGTTTTACACCTACAAGATGTATTTCGAATTACGAAAGGATCAACAAAAGCCGCTTGTTTTCGTAGTGCTTTACAAACTTTCGATTCCAATTCAATTGATTCGGATGCGGAACAACAATCGTCCGAATCAATTAATTCTTCAGATCAATACCTAATGATTCACTACGCGGAACGTATTATATCCTCACCGACAGATTGCAATCGTTGGCAAGTGCAACGTCTCACATTGCACAATAATGATCCGTACATTATAGGCAAATGGTATGATCAGTTACAAAATCGTTTACTATCATCGCCACGTAAACGTTTAAAACGTTTGCTGGTCTTTATTAACCCGTACGGGGGTCGTAAAATGGCCTTGCAGACTTATGAACGTTGTTGCAAACCCATTATACAATTGGCCGGTATTGATGCTTCGTGTATTATTACGCAGCGTGCTAATCAGATACGTGATATTTTAATTGGTCACGATCTGAAACCGTACGATGCCGTTTGTTGTGTCGGCGGCGATGGTACAGTTGCCGAAATGATAAATGGTTTAATATGGCGTTCGATACGTGATCATGGCATGAATCCAAGACAACCGGATTGGATACCGAAACCAAGTTTGCCAATTGGTGTTATACCGGCGGGTAGTACCGATACTATAGCGTACAGTTTGCATGGAACATCAGATGTACAAACAGCAACTATTCATCTAGTCTTGGGTCAATATAAAGGTCTCGACGTGTGCAGTGTACGAAATTGTGACGGTATTATACGTTTCTGTACCAGTGTTATGGGCTATGGTTATTTAGGCGATGTGGCGGCGAAAAGTGAAAAATATCGTTGGATGGGTACGAAACGTTATGAATACACAGGCGTCAAGGCATTTCTTTTGAATCGTGGCTATGAGGCCGAAGTGCATTTATTACTGGATGAAAATGACGAAATTGACAAAGTGAACACAACTTGTTCCGTCAATTGTTCCCATTGCCAAAATATCGAAGAAAAAGATATCAATGCTGATAAACCATCGTCTTCGAATGCCTCTCCATATAAAGATAATACTGAGACTTGCCATCCTCCCGATAATTGTGATAAGCCAAATGACTTCTATATATCACCGGCAAAAACGTCCCCACAATTGATTCGCAGCGATCGCGATACCTCAAATAAATGGCGTATAATAAGAGGGGACTTTTTTATGATAACTGGTGCTAATATAACATGTGCTTGCACGCGCAGCCCTAACGGCATTTCACGTTATTGCCATTTAGGTGATGGCTACTTAGATTTGGTACTAGTCCGCAAAACTAATCTCTTAAATAATATACGCTTTGTCATCAATACAATGGGCCGAAATGGCGATATTGTAAGCTGTGCTTTTTCTTTAAATTTTTTTAAAATAATTTAAAAAAAAATCTAATTTTTTTAATGGATAGCGAAATCTGCCTTTCGTGGAAATTTATCGCACGCGTCAATTTACGTTTAAAGCAAAAATGAATGCTCACTCTCAGGATTACAACAGTGTACGAGGCTCTTGTCAACCAATCGCTATTTCAAGCATCAGTGAAGACGGCGTCAGTAATACAGATAGTGAGTTTTTCTCCAGTTGGAATTGTGATGGTGAAGTGGTCAGCGATTTGGAAATAACTATGATGTAAGTTTGCTCCATTTCTGTTTCTATGTGACTGCGATGTAGAACTTGACATAGACTAATCGTTGGTTGCTCCCATCAATTTAGATAGAATCATTTTCCTATGCTATAACAAGCCTGTCTGTCTATGCCTGCTTATGTACTATTTTGTTCAACTGACAAATTTTTCCGATATCTTTTGATCTACGGAGTCGTGCGGGCGCGATCATAAAATTCTTGTAACTTCTCCCTATATAAGGCGCCATTTAAGAAAAATTATATGAAACAAATAAGAAATTTATATTCGATCATGGCTTTTATGCCTATCACTTACTACACGGTTGGACAGAAAGACAGACGGACATGCTTGGACGCATTCCGAATTTGAAAATGGGCAAGAATTTATATACGTTATGGGGTTTTTGAAGTTTGCTTCACCGCTCTATAAATAAAATTTCAATTGACTATAATATTGAACAGGCACGGCCAATTGTTGCGTAAGTACCGTAGTATCGGCCTTAGAATATATGGTCAAATTTTTGTAGATATATCTGCTGCAGCTTATGAGTAATGAGCAAAAAAAAACAATTTTTTATCCTTTTTGGAAAACAAAGATGGCTGCAGTTTACGTGATACTGTTGGCGGGATTTCAATGTTCTTGAGAAATTTTTTGCAGCCCGGAGAATGTTTAGCCCAGAATTACACAGACGGACAGACGGACATGCGTAAATTAATTCAAGAAAATATATGCTTTGTGGGTGGGAAATGGGGAAATGCAGGGACATTTTTTTTTAAACCCTTCGCATACAAATTTTCTTACCAAGGTCCATAAAATTTTCATGTTTAGTATTTTATAACGGTTGGTTGGGTCCGACCAACTTTACTTTGTTCAGACTATCTCGGTGCACACTTTGACCTTCCTCCACGAAAGATTTAATATTCGACTTTGCCTGAGTATAATATTTTAATTTATTTTATTGTTAAACCAACCATTCGTCCTGTTTTTTTTATAGATCGCATCGTCAATTAATTGATGTATTCATGCGCGGACCTTACCCTTATGCAAAACCCACACGACGAACGGGCAGTAAATCCTTATGCTGCTGCTGTTGTAAATGAATAATTTAAATAAATAACTTATTTAAGGAGACTCGTTTACCACTCCGAGAAGGCAACTCGTAGGGCGATTTATTGTTGTGATTTACTTTCAATGGATATATAAGCTGTTTCCATAAAAATGTACATTCCGATTATTGCCTTTTATGTATTTTAGTAAAATTTCTAAGTTGTATTTTTTTATATTTTAATATTCAATAATGTTTCACTAGTTGATAAGGTATTTAACGGTTCCTTTATATAGGTATTATATTGCATGTCTTCTTCCTTTTTTTTTTTCATTCACAATATTTAAGACAATAGCAGATTGTATGGAATAGCGTTGGTTTTGGATATTTTTCTACTGTATAACTAAAAAAAAAAAACTGAATTAAATAAAAATATTTACAATTAATTATGAA